AAGCAGTTAAATAGGAATTTTAACATTCAAATAAAAACCAAATGCAGTATCTAACTACTTAAATATAATTTCTAAGAAAAACAGACAACCTGAGGATTGAAACACGGTATTGGATATTATGCCTGGCTTGACCCACACCTACCCATAGGTATCTAACATAATTTCTAAACGGAAGAGGAGAAAGAAATAGAAAATAATGTTAATCGGCCCCCAACTGTACTGTCTCTTTCTTCACCTTAGTTGATGTGGCCAAACAGCTTTTTAAAGTATTTCAAAAGCGGGTTTCTACTGACCTGTAAAATCGATTAACAAGCCTCATTCGAATGGTGTAAAGATCAGTTGGATAAGCTACTACAGTACAGTACTTTGGATATGTGCATAGATCAACCGGGCCTGCAAAAGCTGCTGCTATATCTGTTAGGGAATACAGACAAGTTTTCAATCAATAAATCCATTACCTCTAAGTGATACTTCTCTACAAATCATTCATAAGATGGAGCTACATTTAACATTACAGACTAAAACAAAAAGTAAATACAAAGTGTGGAAAAGAACACAACCTCCATCATGGTACTATTTTAAAATACTTTTATGAAACACTTGAAAATGAAACTTTTCACCCTAAAAAACTTACCAAGATTCAAAAGTTGATCTATCCCACTAATAATTCGGTCACATTCTTCATCTCTTGATTTCTGACCCCACTCACCATCTTGGGGTTTGTAAAGCAATTTCTCCAGCTCATCCGATGTGACAGAAATACTAGCCCCTAATTCTTCAGGTGGATCAACTATGGATCCCGACAAAATGAACAGAAAAGAGGGAGAAAAACATCAATTCAAAAAACAAATGTATATTATACTTTTCAATTTTCAAAGCTTATAAAATAGGTTACCTCCATAGTCAAAAATAGAGTTCAAATTTACAACTCTTATAGTTATTGAGATTACCAAATTACTTAAATTCAGATACAATCTACCTAACACTAATAAAATTAAAAATAGG